AATTTTTACTTGGGCTAGCGACAAGGAAGATATCCTTGCCCACCTTTTCAAAGACACTGTAGCCTGATAGGTGACTCCATTCTGGGTGCAGGATACTGAAGTTAGGTCAATACATTGACTTTTGGCACAGTCACACCAGTATACGTACTCCATCCATACACCGTGTTGAGATTTCGGTACTATTCTCTGCAGTATCGGCAGCCATATCGCGAACGTGGCCAGCCAGAAGGTACTGAATGTGTCCCATGGCAGTACGACTACAGGTAAGCCAGAGCTCTTTGCCAGGGCGAGGTGGTACTTGAGGCCACGGTAACGCCAAACAACATGGTAAACGACGAAGCTCGTGAGAGCGCTAAGAATCAATGCGGTGATCATGACGCTTCCTTTGACAGCAATTTTCAAAGGGGAAGAGATACAGAAAGCTGCGACCAGGGAAGAACTAAGAGAAAGCTGCCGGACACGTCTGCGGCGGACGTAAGTTGGGCGCACTAGGTTTGTGACGTATACATATGCGCGATTGCACTTGCCTCACTGGCGTTTCAGCACCTCGGCTACAAAAAGACTAGCAAAAGCGTCTCGTTTAGGCGCACATTGGCAAAATTATTCCGTGCCATCCGACTGGGACGACTGGTTCATAAGGCACACGAGGGGCATCGTCACCTTTATCGTGGTGTAGGCAGGGTCGAGTGGTACCGCATAAGCACCGAGGTGGTGGCGTCACGTGTGGTTGTTACTACATTCAAATGTACCAGCGTCACGTGTCGCTAAGCGGCATCACGCGTCTATGTGATACCTCTACCTCGGGTCTGTACATCAACCGTGGTGACATTGATATGTCGACATGGCGGCAGGAGGCTTCGCTTGGACACTCGGTCGCCTCATTGCAAACCGGTGTGGTACGACAGGGCACACGAACCAGACGATGCGTAGTGGCGAGTGGTTTGGGCGCCGTCTCCGTCTGGTGCTGGTGAAAAGTTGAGCTGGCGGGAGGGTTATTAACAGATCGCCAGCCTGGACGTCACAACTGAAGCCTTCGCGTTCGGTCGCTGGTCGTGTTATTGTGTCAGTGCAGTTGCGTCAGCGCGCGTACTCGGATCTCCAGGCGACAAAGCGAAGGCGATGCGACTCACGGCTCACCGCGTCGTGCCCACTTTGCCGTTCTCTTCAGCTTCGTCTGCAGGCTGGCGAATCATGGCACTAGGCACTACCTGAGGTGTCGGCCACCCCAGCGCGTTGAGGCGCAAACGACCTTGAATGGTGGTTGATCCGAAGTGGCTCGTGTTCGTATAGGCCGTGTCGCAGAGTGAAGCGGACTAAAGCGCGACGACGATTGTACATGTCGCTGTGCAGTTTACAAGTCCCAAGGACAACCCCCGAGGCTGGACTAGCTGGACGCCTCATGCGCTCCACGTGGAAGAGGCACAGCCAGGGTGAAGGCAGGGTGCATCCACAAGGCTCGCAGACAGGCCTTGGTTAGACAATCTCGGTTGTGGGGAGTCGTCTATCGGACCTGTCCTTTCCCAAGACGCATCACTCATCTTGGATGCAGACCGCAACTTGCCATAGCGCCGGTCAGGCCAGGGCCGGTCAGAGTCGGCTCGTCATCTGACAAACTGGCTCAATAGTCGTGCTCTGCGCTTGGCCTAGCATCCTGGGCCACTGCTGTTTTGGATTAATGTCTTTCGGCCAGCTGACCGCACCTCACGGCATTGCTTGCAAGGTCGAGAGTTATCTGAGCCTTGGCTGTTTGTTGACGGGGTTTGACGGGGGCTCCGCGGCGTACCGTGGACCGTGGAACCAACGTCTACCCTTGGCCAGGCATGGATTTGACTGCCATGTCCAAGGAGAAGACGCCGTCCAACAACGCTGGCGTGCCTTA